TGTTTTGTGAACTTGTTTTGCTGTTTTTAATTCCATTGATTAATAAATGTTCTTTATACTCACTTACTGAATAAAATGATTAATGTGAATGAAATTTAAACGTAATGGTAAATAAGTAAGTATTTATTTATGAAATTGTTTTGTTGTTTTTAATTCCATTGATTAATAAATATTCTTACTCACGTGCTGGGTGAGGTGATTAATGTGAATGAAATGAATTTAAACGTAATGGTAAATAAGTATTTATAATCTTGTTTTGTGAACTTGTTTGCTGTTTTTAATTCCATTGATTAATAAATGCTTTTTATACTCACATGCTGAGTGATGTGTGTGATTGATGAGAAGAATGAAATGAATTTAAACGTAATGGTAAATAAGTAAGTATTTTATGATCTTGTATCGTGAACTTGTTTTGCTGTTTTTAATTCCATTGATTAATAAATGTTTTTTATACTCACATACTGAATAAAATGATTAATGCGAATGAAATGAATTTAAACATAATGGTAAATAATTTTTATTTATGATCTTTCTTGTTTTGTGAACTTGGTTTTATTTCTAAAATTGTTAAATTCTTTATACTCACGGACTAAAATAACCAATAATAATTAATAATTATTTATGGCCGATTTAGATTGATGAAAATGTACTTTATACTTACTCTCTAATAATTAAAAATCGTGTAAGAGATCTATCTCAATTTCAAATAAAGAAATTACAAATAATATAATAAAAAAATTAAAAATTAACTTACTTCTTAATCCATTCATTAAATTTATCATTATTTTTTTCCACGCCAATTCCATAATCGTAACAAATAGAAGTTTTCCAAATTCCATTGGAATTACCAGCCTCAGCAGACTTCAAATAATATGAAAATGCTTTTTGCTTATTGATTTCGACGCCAATTCCTAAATAATAACAATAACCAACTTGATACATTCCGTTAGAATTATTCATTTCTGCCGATTTTAGATAATGCGTGAATGCTTTGTTTTCATCCTTTTCAACTCCAATTCCGTATTCGTAAAAATAACCGAGCCTGTAAATTCCGTCTGGATCGTTCATATCTGCCACAATTAGAAATTCAGCTTGTTGAAATCATTGATTATTGAGGTCAAATTTTTTTCGATCAAAAAAAAAAAAAAAGGTTACGTTACGTATATGATACTGTTTTATTTATTTATTTATTTATAGTGATTACGTATGTAGTATACAGCATTATCCTAAATTACGCAGGTGCAGTTTTCAGCCTACAGACATAGCAGATGTTTGTTACACTAACTATACTTAACAAATAGTGCATAATTTGGTACAAGTCACTCTTTTAATTATACTCTCATTATAGTGAACCTCTCTTATAATGCCCTCATTGTAGTGAACCTCTTATAACACTCTTGTTATAGTAAATTTTTTATAGTAAATTTACTATAATATGACTCTCAATACAAGTCAATTTATTTATAATGAAATATTTTGGCTATGAGATTTTCTTCTTTGTTTTAAGAGTTTTTAGTAAATTCACTATATTAAGAGGTTTACAATGAGAGTATTTTATAAAGAAAATCTCTTTGCCAATTTATTTATTATAAAAGAGTGATTTGTATTTATGGCATGTCATATAAGTGATAATTTGATTTTAATTTTGATTTTGTATAAAGATTTTTTAAAATATTTTTATTAATGCCAATTTAAATACTTTTAACCCAGATATGTTTACTATTTTATATTATAAAATAAAATATATAAATTTATTTTATTAGTATTATAGAATATTTGTATATTAAAATTTTATAAATTTATATACTTATCTTTTTAAAATTTCTTTAACCAAAATTTTTTCTAATATATAGATAGAGTATAGATAGAATTTTAGGTTAAAAGTATTTAAATTCTTTTGGTATTGTAATATTAAAAATATTTGATATTTTCTTTTTTAATACAAAGTATATTATTCAAATCATGAAGTTTACAAAAAGATTTTTCATGCCTTTTTATATAAAAAATCTATAAAGTGAACATGTAAAAAAATTAATTTTATTTAAAAATAAACAATTCAAAATAGTATTAAAATAAAGTATATGAATTCAAAAAAAATAATGTCAAAATAAAATATACAAATTCAAAATAATAATGTCAAAATAAAATACACAAATTCAAAAAAAGAAAAAACATATTAATTTTGTTTATTCTAGATTAGGTTGATGTATATATATATATAGGTATATAGGCTGAGAGTTTTCGGAAATTCTAGTTCTAGTAGTTAGAATTAGATTATATAACATTGTATGAATAATATAATTAGGATTAATAAATAGTCTAATATGTGTAACCCAAATAATAATATAGCTAATAATAAAAATATTGAATGACTTTGGTACTATTTCTACAATAAATTGTTTACTCTTTACATTATAACTTTTGCATTTTTGAATTTTATTTTAATGCCTGTTTTCCAGTTCTTTTTTTTAAATCATTATATTTATTATCTTTATAAGTAACAAATATGGTTTAAAAATTCAGTTTTTATTTTATTTTGCTTTGAATATCTAATAGTGCAAAATAATCTATAATACAAAATAAGTTTTTTCTTTTTTATCAGTAATCTAGTATAAAATTAAGATAATATCCACTAAAGGATTTTTTAACATTGAAACAGAAAAAAATCTGTGTTAAAATAACCAAAAATAGTTCACAATCTTGAAGTATTTTTTATACAGTAAATATTTTATTATAGCTACAAAACTATATATATGATTGTTAAGTTTTGAATATATTTAACTTATTAAAAAAAAAGCTAATAAATAAATTTTTTAAATAGAGCTAGTTATATAGTAGTAATAATGGTTAAAAGCTAAAGATTAAAACTTTAATATAATAGAGGTTACAATATAACTTTAATATGTAAGGTTTTGTCTTGAAAATAATTTTATAGAACTATATAAATTTTATAAATTAAAATTAAAATTTCTAGCTATCTAATTAGAGTTGAGCATTTTGTGTAAGTTATCAAAATTTAATGTAACTTACATTTTGGTTTATATAGTTACAATATAAGATAAGGTAAGTTATAAATTATAATAATTACTAGAACTACATATATAGTCATTTATAAAAATAAACTATCTGTACAAATCTTTACTTTTGATTGGGTATATCTTTTTACATGCAATTTATCTATAATATATATTGTGTAATTTCTAATCTGTTTGCAATCAACTATCAACTATTTAGTAATAGTAGAAACTAATATGCAGCATATTTGGTATAGTAATTTGAAAAGTATGATAAATAATAATTTTTTTATATATTAGTATTATATAAAATTATTTTTATTTGGAGTTAATTAGGGTTAGAGTGAGGTGAAAGTAATGTATGGGCTAAGGTTGGGGTAAAATAAGTTTTATAGTAAAATTTTGTAAAGAATTTTTTTGTTAGAACACAAAGAATAGTTTCATATGTAAAATTTTGAATTATAAGTGATTTTTGTCAAAATGAATATTTGTTTTAAATCTATCCTGATTGTGCTATGTTATACCTAATCTTGAAATTTGATTGGTCAATTATTAAAATGCGATGTATAAGCACATCGCGGGGTAGCAATGTCAAATTAAGTCCTTAAAATTAAATAAATATTTAAATTAAAGATTATATATAAATATATATGTAACTTGTATTTGTTAGATATAAGTTATAGTATAATTTATATTTGCCCAACTCTATATCTAATAATCCAATTCAAATAATTTTTTTATTTTGTAGAACTCATTAATCTCTACAAAATAAAAAAAAAGGATATTTGAATTAGATTTACTGGATAGCTGGAAATTTTAATTTTTATACATAATAACTACATAGTTCCATAAGGTCATTTTTAAGGCAAAGGCCCATGTCTTTATAAAGAACTTTAGATATAATAAATTATAAATTTTTAAATTTTATATTATTTCGGTATATATTAGTATATGTAGAAAGCTTAAGAAACATGTTTGATCATTTTTTTCATTTTTTTTTTTTAGAGTTTGTAATTTGATTGTCACATGTTAGCATAACTGATAAACAACCAATCAGAAAATTTCAATAACCAACCGATAGGGACCTGCGGAATCTGTGATATAATTTAGCAAATTATGTTTTCGATATCAGCAAATTATGCGATTAACAATAAAAGTCCGAATTAGTATAAAAATTAAAAATTTATCTAATAAAAAAAACTTGCGATTTTGAAAACCATTTGTTGCACTAAAAAAAAATTGTTTTTTATGCACAAATATATAGCCCATGATATTTTTACTTCTTTGAACTAGTGAAATATAAAATATTTTATTATATTTACTAAAAATTTCATCATGTATTCTTGAAAGTGCATTTTCTATAATCGAAGCAAACCACATGCTTTTTGTGATTTGCTTCGATTACGCAGATCATAAAATTCACACGTCCCTGCCAACCAATCACAAGAGATCGATCATTGCAAAGCCAGTGGCAAACACTTAAACCATAAATCATTGTATCAAGTACCACTAAGGATGTTAATCTATTAATTAAATATAATAATTACGGTTAAGTAGAATCTCTAAATTGTGCAACCACCGGAATTATTAACTCCGGCTTCTAAAATGATAAAATGATCAATTTTTTTTTAACAATGAAATATGGAGATCTCTTTAAAGGAAGTATATAAAAAAGAAAAGGCATAATATAATATTTAATATGATCAGAAAATGAACCGCTCTTCAAAGTATATTAAATTTAGATGTAAAAATAAATATTCAGATGTAATACTATAATTAAACCCATTATAAAAGACTTTGTTTTATTTTTTTTGAATAACAAATTTTTTTAAAATACAGTAAATAAATTGAGATATAAAAATAAAAAAAACATTGATGTCACTTTAGTTAATTATAGTTAAAAATAAACCGGAGTTGATATACCCAGAATAGTAATGCAAATAAAGATATTTAATGACAATGGAAATGTATCGGAGTCTAATATGATTATACAAAAGTCTAATAAATTTGTGAAAAAAAATTTTCCCAAGTCAGATTAATGTTTATGAATACACATTAATCAATTTAATTCAACCCTCAAACTAGTAAATTTCATTTATTATACAGTAATTATAATTATACCATAAAAAATACCATTGAAGAATCTCATTTATCTTTTCGCTCTCACAAGCTTCATACAGGCCTAACAAAGTCAAAGTCAAAATCAAAATTCAACATTCATTAATGAACGTACAATAAAAATAATTATGTATAAACAAACCGAAAACATCATTTTGGTAAACTTGCGAAGAACTATGCCCCGGTCCATGAATCTCATTTTGATTCAAGAATTCATTCACGTAAATTTGCTGATATGCGTCATTATAAAACTGCGGCAGACTACTATATGAACTTGGACTGGCATCGTATGTGAATATGTCATCGTATGAGATGCTGTCTTCATAACCTTTGTATAAATAATTATAAGAATAAATGAGATAGATGTTAGAACATTTAAATGGATATCTAATAAAATAAAATTATCACTATATACCATTATAAATTTCCGATTCCATTTGGAAATTGTCAAAGTCCTGTTGCATACTTTTGCTGAGACAATTATCGCAAATATCATTGATCTTATTTTCGTTTTTATTAAGACACATTGGGCAAACAGAAAAATTGCAGTCTCGTCCCTTTTTTCTGCATTCACTACATTCTCTTTGATTTGGTATTCCATTGCATCTACGTTTAGATTTTCTGCAACCCAAACAGGCATAACGAGCACGAGGCCTTGCTGACGTTTGGTCTGATGTTTGAGCGAATTTTCCGTCATTCATTTTGAAAGAAAAAAAATGTACAAAAATCATAAAATTCGTGGTAGTTTGTGCAGCTTTATAAATTAATTTCCTTTGTTTATAAAATAAAATCAGATTTAATTGTTAAAATTTACATACATACATACATACATACATACATACATACATACATACATACATACATACATACATACATGCATATGTACAGTACATACAATCACGTAATAATGGTTAGATGTGATATTAAAGAATTTTCCAGTAAAGCATTACATTGCAGATTACACCATATAAAGTACGTACATACCCTCAAAATATGTTAATCGATCAGATATAAACGCTAAACAAGTAACTGCCGAATTTGAGTTCGCGCCAAATTGCCTGATTGTGTCATTTGTTGTTGCACCTTCCCGCATATACGAATAAACAAAAATAAACTTTCGTTATCAATTGGTGTAAAATTCTTTTAATACAGTTAATACTACGCGAAATTCTTTAGTATTAATTAATTTTAAATGTCGCAATGACTTTAAATAAAGAACTGTAAAGGCTATTATAACAAATGGTCAAAAATCCATATTACTCGAACTTGCTGACATAACAACGCATAAATAACAGAAGACAATATTTTACGTTCTGCAGACAAGCAATATTGGCGTATGCTAATTAACAAGTTTTGTAAATAAATATTTATAAGTAAAATAGTTTTTGTGAAATTTGATCACTTAGACTATCTTTACATCTACAGGTGAACAAAATAAGCCGAAAATACATAATATTTATTTTATAATTTTGAATCCTTAATAAAATTATCAGTAATTAATAATACATCCTAGAATGGAGATTGACATACATGTAAAAGGACTGTTCAAAATCCTGGGGTCTAGAATAATAACTTGGAGAGATAACGACCGACGGGTTGATTGCCTTTACTTTTCTTTTTTTACTTATCACAAACAATTGCCTTTCTTACTTGTTTACGCGTCAAAACAAAAATCTGCTTTAGTGCAGTAGATCTTTTGATGTGACATTTGCTTTCCAAAATTATTTAATTTTAGTGCGACAAATTCGGTTAATGCACTATATCTTTGATACATTCCAAATTAATTTGTTTAATTTCTCACGCCGTTATATGTACGTACTGTACATAAACTGGTAAAAAAAATAAATAAAAATAAAAATAAAATAAGTTTAAATTAAAAAAGGTTAACATTTAAATTTAAAATTATCGGATATGATATATCCAACATTAATAAAAATTTTTTTACTACGTTTTTTACTATATTAAAAGACCATAAAGAATATAAACCTTCGTTATGACCAAATGACAGGTCATAAAGGTCATTTAAGGTCAATGACCAACACTGTTCAATAGTATGTCTTAGACTCATCATCAGCTATTTATCCATTGTACTTACAAAGTTTTTCTAACGATTAAGTAACACACAATAACTGTAAACGTTATTACCACAAACTATTTGATTTGTCTATCAAATTGTTTTATCTATCTACAAATATGATGAGTGAAAACGCTTTTCGCTCTCCAAAAATAATACTGTAGCTTTTATATATAACTTATTCTTAAACTAACCTTAGAACTTGAAGATAGTAAAATTATGATACTATTTAGAAGTTATCACATAATAATTAATATAAAAAATCATAATTGATTTATAGGTATGATTTTAAAATTTTTATGTTTAATATAAAAAAAAATAGATATGATTTAAAATTAATGAAATGATAAGTTACGTGCTAAATTATAAATTCTCGTCCTATTATAGGTATAAATAAGACGACGCGCTAATAATTAAAAAAAGTTACTTAGTATAAAATTATAAAAGGAAAAATTAAAATTTTTATCTTTAGAATTTTTTATTTATTTATTTGCAAAATATTTTCGAAATTTACATCTAGGCGCAGGCGAGGAGCCTATAAGTTATTGTCTAAAATAATCTTTATCTTTAGGGCCGAACTTAAAGTAGTAAATTCAAACTTAAACCACCGGTTTTCTTTAACATCACAGTTTATACTTATTTTAAATTTAGTAAGTTATGATCATCTACAGTATCTAGTAATGCACAATATAAACAAATAATAAATAAGTAAAATAAAAAAAGTCGTTTATTGAAAGTCGGTTTTTCTTCTGCGGTCAATGAGTATTAATTTTTAACTAATCTGAATGAGAGAAAAAGAAAAAAGACAATGCTTCAGGATTATTTTCAAAGGCTTTTAAAATTTCTAAGGAGCTATCGAATGAAACAGTGGAATTATTATTCCGTCATATTATACTCGGAATTAATTATCATATTCAACATGTACGGAATTTAAGGTAACAAATGAAAATGGATAAAAAAAATTTAATTATATTATTTCCATTTGAAGTAACCTAGAATCCAGCAGAAATTAATGAAATATATCTACTTTGATAATTAACCTAATTTAGAACTTTTTCATCAGATCTGGTCTCTTATCATTTACTATTGAATTTTATTTATTGCTGTATTTTTATTATGAAATATTTTAAATATATAACTAAAAGTTCAACTGTATATTTAATTTACAGTATAAATAACTTCGGTCCAACATTTATCTTCGGATAACACAACGATAAATTTATATAATAAGCAGGTTATCTATTCAAAGATTAAATATTTATGGTTATAGAGTAACAAGCTTGAAGCAGGAAATTGAAAATTTCTTCAATCATTACTAAATTATTTTTGATTGAAGTTTCGTAATCTTAGTAGCACTCATGTACTGCACGTAAATAATAACATTTTGAATAAACTATCAATTAATAATTTATATGTAATGAGTTTAATCGAGTGATAAATGAATTATTTATTTTTCGCAACAGGAATAAGAGGTAAATCACCGGTTATATAAGAGCCTGATATACTATGTTATTTCACCGCAGCGGGAATAAGGATTTTGGACGATGTCATGACAGTGGTTTAAGTGTTAATATTCCTATAGAATGATTTGGCATTACGTACTAAGCATTATGCCTCCACCCTCGAAAATTATCAAAGCCAGATAATATTTTATATTCTTAATATGATTTTAATTAATAATCAACTTAAGAAACCGCAATACCGGGTTTAATTATTCCCTATTATAAGTTGATACAATCATATCTTACATTAAATCAATAATTCCAACACCGAAAGAAAAAATATTCTATTTTAGGTAGGTAACGCAGCAACGTGCACAAAAATCTGTGCGTACATGCAGATTTCTATTTATAGAGATCATCATTTTGAGTTACAATAGATATATCAGAAACAAAAGAAATCTTCAATTAAAATGAAATAAATAGTTCTTTTTCATTTAGGAAAAATTTCATAGAAATACAAAATATAAAGTATTTTGTTAATTTCTTTTCTCTTTCAACAAAAATATTACCATAAAAAAGACAAAGTTTTATCTAATTAATTTATAAAGTAAATTTTGAACGTTAATATAAATGCAAATATATATAAATACAGGTATTGAGATCTCCCTTTTGTCTTGTTAACTACTATAGGTTGAGCAAATATAGTTGCTTAATTTTCATATTAAAATTTATTTCATTCGTATAGTTTAATTTATTTTTATTTGATTCTGCATACCAGACCCTGCTGTAAAAGGAAGGAGTATAAAGTAGTATGACAAGAGATACCAGCCCACACAAAAAACGCACATACGAATTTCCTTATGGATTCATACGATACTGTAAATAAAAAAAATATCACATTACAAGTAAACATTCTAAGATGTCACTATAGCAGGTAAATATCACTTTAAAAGTAAACATTCATTCAAGATAGCGATAACAAGTAAACAAAAATTTTTGGCGCTAATATTTATTTATCTAAGTTATTCACACAGGTTAATCCGTCAATTCAAATTCTCAGCAAATGTTGTAATACATTCCCCTTGTTAAGATACCCCCAAACTCGTACCCTAGAATTATCACAAACGGAAATCATTTTGTGTACAATTGAAAAAAAAACCGCAGTAATATATATATGTTATCGTGTAATGCGTGTTGTCACTCAGAGATAGAATTTGGCATAGATAACGCAAAATCTTATTATCATAACCACTTTAAATTATTAATTAAATTTGTTCAAAATAGCACGGTGGATATTCAATTTATTGGCTTATAAAACCCAATGTCACACAACATAAAAAATTTTTTAAATTAAATCCTACTATGAAATGCCACTTCGTTAATTGGCAGCTTACGGTTGCACATAGTAAACTTTTTTAATAACCGTTAGTATTTTTTAGCTCTTTATATGTCTTTAGCCAAAAAAGATCAGTATAGAGTATAGTTGTTAGACGAAACCTTGAGGTTTCGCGCTGACGAAATGCGAAACCTAGTTTCGTCTTTCGTCAACTAA